TTTTTTTTTTTTTTTTTTTTTTTTTTTGGTGCCAGGGATCAAACTCGGGTCCTTGCACTTGTGAGGCAGGCAGCAGAACCACTGAGCCAAATCCCCGGCCCTTTTCTTTTTTTTTCAGTTTTTTGAAACAGGGTCTCACTATGTAGTTGAGACTGACCTGGAACTCACTATGTAGCTCAGGGTGGTCTCAAACTCAAAGTGATCCTCCTGCCTCAGCCTCCCAAGTGCTGGGATTACAGGTATGCGCCATCATGCTTGGCAGATTTTTTTTTTTTTTAATATACATGAAATATTTTTCACTTTGGAAAAGCTCTTAGAAAGGTATTTCATTCTCTGGAACAGAAGAATGACTGTATTGTCAATTTTGGTACTACCTGATTTATTTTAATCAGTCACTAAGTATTTAAAACAAATACACAAACAACAATGAATCTCAGCCACTGGTGCTTTAAATTAAAAAAAAAAAAAACCTCAAATTTCTCTTCCTTTCACCTATATATTAAAACAAAGACAGATATTTAAATTGAAGTCAGAAGACTGTTCTTTTAGGGGTGGGATAAAAAGGTATTTTCATGAGTTAATTTAAGGGTATACATAAATATAAACTGAGCATAGCTCACTAATGCAGTGCATAGTTCTAACTACCCCTCAACACAGTCTAACCATAGCATTCAGCAGTGCTGTGCAACATGAGGAAAGTCAATACTCACAGATGCCAAGGCCTTTCCAAGTGCATCACCTGTTTGTGAGCTTCCAGCAGCATTCCCTCTGGTTCCTGGATATTTCAAGGAGGGAAAGAAATAAAAAATTTCAGCAGCAAAGGATACATTGTTAGCATGTTGCCATTATTCTAAAGGTGACTGCTATTGTTCTCACATTTGCCACAGCAAATTAGGAAATAACTTTGTATGTATTATACATCACAAGTTAAAGCCACAGTTCTTCCTAATTTCTCTACTAACAAAAATTAGAAGTTTATTTTCTTCTATTCTTTTTTTTTGGTTTCTGGAAACAAGGTCTTGCTATGTGGTTCAGGCTGGCCTTGAACTCACTATGTAGTCCACACTGGCCTCAACCACCCAGAGACCTGCCTCAACCTACCAAGTAGTGGGATTACAGGCATGCGCCACCATCCCTGGCTTTTCATTTTTAAACCAAATGCTAAGAAATACAATGAAAGATATGGGGTTTACTGAAAATCCCTAAATTATGTCTTAGAAAGTTTTGTAAACCAAAAGGCTCACCCAGAATGCTGTCTGATCCATTGACAGGAGGAGTGTGGGAGGCAGCAACATATGGGGCACTGCTGGTGCTGCCACGATGAAAGCTGGACATTGGGGGAAGACTTGTGCTCATGTCTGTTGGCGAGACTGAGTGTGGAGGGTAACTCTAGAAAAGGCGACAGAGACACACTGTTAAGTATATCTCTGTCTAGTATGTTTATATACTGGATAACTACTGTAACAGGTTAAAAAGTGCCTTACAAATTAGCAGCTAAAGATTGCTATTACTGTCATTTACTTTCGGGAAATGCAGTAAGCCTAGAAATACTTGAAACTTTGGAAGTTTTGGCAGAATCAAGTTTCCTAGTTGGAATACCAAAGGAAACAGACGTGAAAGTGAAGGGTGGCTGCACCTCAACATGTGTGATTGCCTACCAAGCGGTCATGGGAGTGAAGGCTGCCATAACTACTGGACTGAGACATGTGGGAAGTGGAGGTCCCCAGAATTCCACCAAAACCAGGCTGGCTCATCCCATTTGATGAACTCCAAAGGTCAGAAGAATTGTGGGTCCCATCTAAGACAAAAAGAAAAATAGAAAAATTTCCTTAGCTAATTTTTTAAATTTTGATGCTTATAAAAATCAGAGGGTACCCTCCAGATATTTCCCCTCCTTCTTCCAATTTAATCTCCTACCCAGTTTTCTTTTCTCCAAACTCTAAAATTACTATGTAAAAGGAAAAATCAGGCTTTATAGAAAAAAAAGGGCAACCTAAAATATAATAGGTAGGTCACTTTAAAAATCCTCAGATGATATAAATTCTACCCAAGGAAGGTAATAAAAATTTCAAATTTGAGGACTGGTTGGATTTAATTTTGGGTTAAATGGCATACCCATAAATATACCAAAGAAGTTTCTCAATCTCTTGTAGGAAAAATACATTCTATCATTTTGAAGATGTGGAATAAAGAAGATTCTCTACTATTAAGCTTAGGTAACTGATAATGACCACAGAATAGTCTTCAAATGAAATTTTCCCATAGTGACTTCAGTCACAGTATAGTTAAGAAACCATTTATGTAATAATTTATTGCTTTTGTATCATATACTTCTCATAATTCCAAACCACAGAAGACCACAAAAAATGATTTGCTAGCCATGAATTACAAGAAATACAACACCTTTTCTCTTTTAACAAGTCTCTCTTCTATGATTTCGCTCTTTATTTATATTGGTAACTCTAGGTGTGATATGAATATGTAATTTAAATGAGAAACCAGGGTTAACAGCTTGAAGATTTTAAAATTCTAAAACAAGCCAGAGCAGTTTTACGCATTTTCCTCAATTTAAGTCCTTTATAAATTCAATCAGGCACTCTAATATTTTGCTTGGTAACCCAATTAATTCACAGTAAGCAGTAAAATAAACAGCAGTAGAAAACTATAAGGCTAAATTTTAAGTTACTGCAGTCCCCAAATACCTAGAAAATGTATAGATAACAGCACAGTTATTTTCTTTCCTCACACTAATATACAGATGACTAGTCAATATGTGGCAGCTGTTTGGTAGTACCTACCTTGCATAAAGAAAGTGCTAGCAAACATACTGGTCGGTGGCTTAGGAGATGGATAAGTAGGAGATTCACGGTTGAAATCATCTGAATTTGGGGATGGTGCATACACCTTAAAATTAAACAGGAAATTTAATTAAAATATAAATGAATACTGTATGACTTATGTGAGTCCTATATTCCAAAAGTACCAAAAAGCCTATCTATCTATATATAAAAAGGCCTACCATAAATACAAAAGACAATGCCAGAGTCCATATAAATAATTTCATTTTAGCTGATTACTAGAAAAAAATATTCCAATTATCCATGAAATTCTCTTGGTGTGAAATTATACCAGGTGGATAAATAAAGTCATTAAGTGTTGACTTGATTACAAAGCACAAATCTCACAATGGATTATGATTAAAAATCTTACTGGAGCAGCTGGGAATGGTGGTGCAGGCCTCTAATCCCAACACTCAGGAGGCTGAGGCAGGAGAACTGCCATGAGCTCGAGGCCAGCTTGAGATATATAGCGAGTTTAAAGCCAGCCTGAACTACATGGTGAGACTATGTCTCTAAAACCAACCAACCAACCAACCAACCAACCAACCAATGAGACTGACCTAATAAACTATTCCTTAGAATAGATGAATAGTATAAAAAGTGAGTTTATAAAATTCATTCTTTGTGCTGTCATAATATCTGTCAAAGAAAATAAAAATGAATTTCTTTTAAAACTCAACAGCATCAGCAGATACATTAAAACCTAAATCTGTGGAGGAGATTTAATTCTTTCAAGTCTGAGAAATCTAACTTAATTTGTTGAAACAGTATTAATGTCCTTTGGTAAACCTTTGCTTCAGATAAATTACGAAAATTTTGAATTAGTAAATGACCAACATCTGTATTACTTTGAAAAACTAAATGGGTACCAAGTGACCTTAACAAAGCATAATCACCCCATCCTCATAACTTCTAAAACCAAGAAGCAAAACAAATGACATTTAATGCTATATATCGTCTATAAAAGTAAACAAGGAATCAGGAAATAGGAAAAGAAAAGCTAAGCTATTGTCAATAGTTTGTAAAACAATTTCTTTTTAGCTTGTTTAAAGGTACATTCATTAAATTTTGTTGCAAAATAAAAGTTCTTAGTGTTCACTTAACTAGAAGAAAGTAACATTAAAATTATGGGAGAATGTGAAAAAAGTCATATTTTTGACTGTATAAACAAAGTTTCTAGAATTACACACAAGATATTAAAAACGGTTACATCTCGAGATTTATAATTGTGAAGGTCTTTTACTTTATACTCTTCCATATTTTATTTTTACCCCAAGCATACACTTCTGAATACTATGGATAATAATAAAAAAGGAAGCACACTAAGATTAAAATGTGAACCATTTTTATTTACATAAATTATCAATTATATATTCATAAACTATCTGTAAAGACCACTGTAAAATTACCCTAACCTTCCTGAGACTCAGTTTCCTCATGTAAGATGGTGCTAACAGTAAGTAGGTTGGTAGGAAGATAAGATGATATAATGCATAGTAAAATGTTTAGGATGCTGCATTAGTATGAAGTGAGCAGTAAGAATGAGCTCATAGTATCATCTTTTTTTTTTTTTGGTACCGGGGATCGAACTCAGGTCCTTGCGCTTGCGAGGCAGGCCACCGAACCACTGAGCTAAATCCCCGGCCCTCATAGTATCTTCTTTTGATCACTCAACAGAAGCAGTAATGCTGTTAAATACTGCCCGTTAGTCCTCAAATGCTGTTTAAGAGTTTCGTGTGATAAAATTATATATACATACAGAACTTCTCCCAAGTAAAAGGTTTAGAAGCTTGCTTTTACTCTTCTTGCTAGGCTTCATAATTCTAGCACAAGTGTGACTTTTCAATGAATTAGCGTTTAGGTTTGTTTCCTACCTTTCATATCCCAGATGCAAAAATACATATCTGTGGTACCTGAGAAGTTTGGGCCAAGATAAGATATATTCCTAAGAATTATCCAGAAGGACCCTAGATAGGGGGATATGGCAGATAAAAGTTTGTTCATTATATATATTAAACATACTAGTCTAGTTTAAAGCTACTTAATAAAAGATTGTTAGAATTACTTTATAAATGTATTGGAAATGAATAAGACAGAATGATAGCAGGCAAAGTTTCCAGGAAAGAAACTTTAGACTATTTTCTTTTAATCAAGTTTTAGCTCTAATTTCAGCCAAAACTAGATGTACTTTCCATCTTTGTATGTAGATTTTCCCAAACTAGTCTGAAACTACAAACAACAAAGAGTAAGTAATCTACAGACTTAGCCAGAAAACACCAATGCAAATCAAATTCAGAGACAGCATCACAACACATGCTTTTTATCACAAGTGTGTTTACTATACATATCACTTTTGTTTGAAAAGTATGAAATATAAAATTTTTAATTCTCTTTAGGTTATAAATGGAAATAACATATAAGTCTCACATTTGATAATTATGAAAAAACAGTTCTGATGGATCATTACATGCAAAAAAAACCCTGCATAATCTGTCAAGCTTAAATTGCTACATAACTTGCCAATTTATTTCTTTATTCTTCATCCTATTCCATTCACTGTATGTCACACAGGACTTATGCTCTTGAATTTTGGAATGTTGGCAATTACAAAAGAAAGTAAAGGAACATACTTGATTTTACTGTTTTACAAACTGGTGCTAAAGCAAAAATGTCATAACATAATAATTAATTGACAGTTGTTAAGGAACGTAAGGATACCAAGATAAACCACATAAAGCAGAAGACCCTTGTCTACTTTCTTGAAAATTTTAAATCTGTATAAAAAAATAGGCCTATATTAGAGGTAAAGCTTATTTTTAATGTCAATCTTTGTAAATAGGCTTTGAAAGAAATGGAATTTTTAAGGTTAGCTCCTATAAATAAAAATGGTAAGGAAAAATTCTCAACTACTGTATCATTTATATTCTAATACAAGTTCAACTATATCATAATAAAAATGTTTTCAAATACATGGTCTCATAGAAGCCCAACAAACAGCATTTCTAAGCCTACTTTTCGTATCTTAACTAAAGCTTGCAAAAACACAGATGCAACATTGTGAAGCAGCCGCTATGCCAGTCTCTATTTTTCAGATCAAAGACTTCTTGCGGCAAAGCACAACTGATGTGGTCTCAAAGAGTTTATGAAATCCAGATGTAGGGAAATAGTGAGCCAATTGCACAAAAAGAGCAAGTCCCCTTCTAGTTACAATCAGTACTGGCCACAAATTAAAACCAGACTGCTTATGTCATCTGATCACCTGCACATAGATGCCACTTGTTTTCCTTTTGTTAATGATCTAATCATATATTTCAATCGCAAAGATACCTTTGTATCACAAAAACAATCTTAAAATTAAGAGAAAGGAATATGTATGTTTTAAGATGATTAAAATCTACCAGGAGTCAAACTATTTTAAAAAGAACAGAAAAAAGTACAATTAAGTACTTTGAAGATTTTTTTCTTAAAATGTGGTAGACAGAAATTTTCTGAAAGCCAGGCACCTGGCAGCTGCAATGGGACCAACCTATTTTCTTACCTACTTAAAATTTTCCCCTTGAAGAATGGTGGTGAGAGAAATTGTATCTGATGAATAGGCAATCTTAACCTAAAAGAATATAACTGAAAATGTGACACCTCGGTTTTATCAAGTTTGGTTGAAAAGAACAAACTCATATCAGTATCTTCAATGTTCTCATCCCACCCAACCCAAAGTGACTTTTAAAAACAGGATAGCATACTTTCGGGATGAGTGTTTGCAATTACTCTTAACAGTGAGCACACAATGATCTTAGGAATGTTTCAGCTCATACAACCAATTAAAGAGCAAGACCAACCTCTAGAACTTTAAGCAGAGAATGGTTTCGCCCTGAATTTGGGGCCAATCATATGTCTAAACTGAATGAATCATCCAATCAAGTCAGAGGGAATCTGTCTTTGCCGAATTTTATTTAATTGGTCCTGATTTCAATGAATCCTTCCTGTGACTAATACTGAAAACATTCCTGTGTGTCGGGAAAGTATAATGACTTTGTGATAATTATTGAGAAAAGGTACAAAAAAGTAGCTGCTTTGTATAAAAATAGATAAACAGATCATTGTATGATGGCTGATATTTTTTAATGACCCAAATGATGAGGAGACAGGTGTTTTCTCACAACTGTATGTTCTCATCCAGGATCTTTCCACGCAATGGAAGATGAATGACCTAGGTGAGCACTCCCCACTCATGGAAGTGCTCCACACCACTCCTCACTACAGTGCCACACGAGCATCTAACACCCGAAATGTGGACAGCACATAGGAGGAACTGAATTTTAAGTTTTATTTTATCAAACAGCCACATGTCACCAACAGTTACTATACTGAACAAGACAGATTTAGATTATTCTCCTTTATTCAGCAGTTAATGAACATATGCATTATTCTGAAAGAAATATTCTGAATTCTTGTAAACCTCAATGCCTATGAAACTAGCCTAAATTCTCAAACATTCTGGGAACACTGTCATCTAATTTTGAGTGAAGAAATATGGAAAAGCTTATCTATTTTTCTGAACATGCTCAAAACAGAACGACAGTTACCAAGACTTTGTTATATTTGAATTTGTTAGCTCTTTCATCAAGATGATGTGAATAATAGTTCTCTTTAAATTCTAGTATGTTCAAAATCATTATATAATTTACTATGTAGTAATATGGACCTTTAAAGATCTATGCTAATAACAGAAATCACATTCAGTACAATTTACATTCATTTACCATGATAATAAAACCAAAAGAAATTACTTGGCTGGTTTACCTTACCATCATAATTTTAAAATGAAATATAATAGTATAATCAGGAACATTTATTTAGATTTTTATATAGTGATATCTTTTATTAATTTTTCATTAAGACATAGCTGAGTACTTAAAACTTGAAAGGAAAAAAAAGTCTAGATCAATGAGAAAAAGAAAAGCCCAAGTGAAACACTGTACTGAAAACTGTAATTAAGCCTCTGGGTATATAATTTTAAAATATGTACACTAAAGAGTCAGCACTAATAAAAACTAGGTAACATGT